AAAAAAAAAATACTAAAAATAGGGCTAAGCTCAGAGGAACAAATTTAAATGGCCAAAGAGACACTAAATCCCAAGTGAGTGTTCGGGCTAGCTTCAATGCACTGGATTGTGGCTTTAAAGATATAAACAACAATAACAAGAGATAATGAGCTAATGAGACAAGAAAGAAGTGAGACCTGGTAATATCAAACGTGATACAACTGAAGAAGGTCACTGGGAATAAATTTATAGAAAGAGAACAATAAGAAGAGAAAAGAAGGGCGCCAACTCAACGATAGTTGAGATTTTGAAGTAACAAATGAATCTGGAGATAATACTCTGAAATACAAAAATACTAAATAATAATCTTGTTTTGCTATGTTATATACTGGTTAGTAGAACTGAAATAAAACTCAAAATAGTAACAATAAATATATTTATAAAAAAGGTATATAGGTATATGTGTATAAACAATTTACATATAATGCAAAGCCAAATAACAGTGGTAGTGGATGGTGTACACATACAGTGGGACCTAATAGCCCCTCAACAAACGAATAATCACTACCACTGGCCAAATAAAGTATAAAATGTTAGTATAAACCAAGAATAGTCCGTATGATAGCCAAAGTCTTAACACAAAAAGGTAGTAATTTAACTTTAAATAGTTCTACTAATATGAGATACAAATATTGTAAATATATCAAACTTGATAAATCTGTTACAATTATTATATTATATCCAAAAAATGAGTCTTCAATACTCCTTATACAATGTTTTAAAAACCACATGAAATTCATTTCCCTTCCCAATATCAAAATTATTTTATATCAAATGTATTGTATTAAAAAAAATATTATATCAAAAGTGAGTTTGGTCAGTACTCTTGAAATCCTATTTAAAAACCTAATAAAAACATGTAATGTATTTTCCCTCTCCCAATAATATCAAAATTATATTTTATTAAAAATTAAATTATCACAAAGGTATTTACCTTATCATATGCATATGAAGAGGGTATACTACTAAAAGGAAGTAACAAAAGTTAAACAGTAAATAAAAAGTAACACAAAAAATCAAATAGTTAAACAACTTATCTTTACAGCACTATAAGTCCATAGGAAAAATTCCTCTTGGCACGGTTACATCAGTTTATGGCTGTAAAGACGAATCCTGGGCACAAAACCACAACCAGTCACTGATGGTCACTGGTCTCTGGGTGACAGCAAAATCCAGGGGTTACATACACAAGTTGCTAACTAAGGATTCAAAGTTGCTAATATCCTTGAGGAAATATTCTAAAGAGAATATCCTCAAGTGAAGTGACGGAATCTAAAATGATTATTTAATTTAATAAATATAATTTAATAGGTGTAGCAGCATGGATTGACTGCACCAAAACAAAACATCAAAACATCAGGTATTAGGTTAAGTCAACATGTCAGAATTTATGAAGTTATTTCCGTAGCATGACAGGCTTGAACATGCGCAGAATACAGAAGGCTGTCCAATATTTGTAGAACCTTTTTATATTCCACCAAAAAAGTTAGGTAAAAAAAAGAACCAAAAAAACTTAATGGTAAGATATGAAATAGATCGGAATTTAAGTTTGACTATATAAAAAAAAATGACCTTCTGTTCTTTGCAAGTAAATCAAGGAAATTTTATATTTAAATTATTTCGGAACTCAAAAATAAATCTCTAAAGAAATACTAAATACAATGATAAATTTGATTATATGATAAAGAGATAATACGTATGAAATGATTTACTTACATGGAACTCATAAATGAATATTGATTTTATTAGAAAAATTTCTTATTATTATTATTATTTATGAATTATATATTTTTTTTTATTCTTGTCCTAGATTTTATTTGCCCCAATTCCGTCACTTTGAACGTGAGAAAAAGACTCACCGGTTGGCGTGTCTGCGTTTACGAGTTCTGACCAAAACTGACTGCTTCGCTTCCGCACAAAATCGATCTTCCTTTCAAAGCGATAACAGCGCGTGTGTGTAGAAATGTCGATTTAAAATCGATCGTAGGCGGGTAATAAAAATTTCTTAAGGGGTTAATCAGTAGCGTAAACGCTACAGTGGCCACTAAAAAATATCAACTCCTCTTCTTTATTAATTAACAGGGTGATTTGTGCAATTGACCATTTATTTCATTTTACTGTAGTGTTTATACGGCTCATTTAATTTTTTTAATTTTTGCATGATACAGTACACTACTATCAAGCATTCGACTGGTATTAGCTAAACTAAAAAAATCCAGGACTGGCTTTGGAAAAATTAATTTAGGGATTCGTATTAAATATTACACCCTGTATATATATATTTTTTAAATGCAATAAGTGATTTTTAAACTACATAAATAGCCAATGAAAACGACATATGCGACAATGTTGTCGCACTTTTATTAAATTTTTAGTGAACGATTAAATCTTACCAAAAATAGAACAACCATAATGAAGTATCAAATTATAAGGTATTAATTTAAACAAATGTTATAAATTTCAAACATTTTAATTAAAATGAGTTCCTACAACATAATCTAATACGTAGAAAATTAACATCTTTACTGTCACTTTGTATTATCTCTACGATAGAATCAATTGTTTTTCAATTTTAAATTTTTACTCATAGATCGTATTGGGGCATTATTTTCGATAAATAATAAATTAAATTGATTAAAAAGTCAAACCTCTTGTATGTGTTAGTTTTCGTTGATTGTAAATGATTAAAATTTTATGTCAAATAATAATAGGTACATTGCATCAACTGTACTAAATAAAAATAAATCTAAAAAAGTTTAAAATGAAGGTTGGCGTTGACCGTTTGACGTTTCTTGATATTTTATACCCATTGTCATTATTGTCATTATCAATTGTTATTTATGTGTACAAGAATACATATTTCTTCTGTCATATCTACGTTAAGTACATTGTGTTAGTTTTGGTAGAGCTTTTGTTACTTTCGTTCAAAATGCCACATCAGTTTTCGACCACAGAATATGCAGACATAATATTTGTTTATGGATTCTGTAATGGGAATGGTAGGGCTGCTAGTAGAGAATATCGCAGGAGATTTCCTAATCGTCGAACTCCCAGTCATCCAACATTTGAGTCAGTTTTTAATTATTTGCGAGAAAATGGCACTTTTCCTAGTGGAACAACAGAGCGACATGTAGATGAAGCGCAGGAAGATGACATTATGGACGCCGTTACTATGAACCCTACAATAAGCACTAGACAATTAAGTCGAGAACTCAATGTTACTCAATCAAAGTAAGTAGAGTCTTACAAAAAAATAATCTATACCCATATCACATTCAAATGGTTCAGCGACTACATGCTGGAGATGAGATCGATAGGTTGGAATTTTGTAGATGGATTAACAATAATCGACCAACGCTATACAGGACACTATTTACAGATGAAGCCCAATTTACCAGAGACGGGATAAATAATTCACGAAATTCACATGTGTGGGCAGAAGAAAATCCCCATGCTATTCGAGAACGTCGTTCTCAGTTACGGTTTTCGGTTAACGTGTGGATTGGTGTCATAAATAACCAATTGGTAGGTCCTCACTTTTTTGATGGTCCTTTAACAGGGCAGGTCTATTTGAACTTTCTACAAAATATTTTGCCGAATTTTCTTGCCAACGCGAACGTTGCTATCCGAGGGATGTATTTTCAGCATGATGGGGCACCCCCACACTTTTTACTGGCAGTGAGACAACATCTCAATAATGTTTATGGCAACAGGTGGATAGGACGTGCAGGTCCTATTTCGTGGCCTTCAAGATCCCCTAATTTCAATCCCGTTGATTACCATATTTGGGGACGATTGAAGCAACTAGTTACGCAGTGAATATTAATAACCGACAACAATTAATTGATAGAATTATACATTGTTGTAATACTATTAGAAACGATCCCCAGAGTATCCGTAATTCAATACGTCAATTAACAATTCGGCAACAAAAATGTGTACAGGCTGCAGGGTTCCATTTCGAAAATCTATTTTGAATTATTTTTATTTTGTTACCATTATTGTATCTTTTCCAGTTCTAATTTATGGGTTTATCATAACTATGTACATATTTTTAGTTTTTTTTTAAATTGTTCTTCGTTATTGTTAGTAGTTACTGTTTTTTGTTGTGCAGTGACTCAGTTTATCATTTAATTAAAATGATTGAAATTTATAACATTTGTAATTACCTTATAATTTGATACTTCATTATGGTTGTTCTATTTTTGGTAAGATTTGATCGTTCACTAAAAATTTAATAAAAGTGCGACAACATTGTCGCATATGTCGTTTTCATTGGCTATTTATGTAGTTTAAAAATCACTTATTGCATTTTAAAAAAAATATATACAGGGTGTAATATTTAATACGAATCCCTAAATTAATTTTTCCAAAGCCAGTCCTGGAATTTTTTAGTTTAGCTAATACCAGTCGAATGCTTGATAGTAGTGTACTGTATCATGCAAAAATAAAAAAAATCAAATGAGCCGTATAAACACTACAGTAAAATGAAACAAATGGTCAATTACACAAATCACCCTGTTAATTAATAAAGAAGAGGTGTTGACATTTTTAAGTGGCCATATGAAATGCTCCCTGAGGGACTCTACATATGGTAGAAGTATGTAAAGTTCCTCATGACTCACCCTGTATACATTTAATGTTTTTGTTTTTTATAAATACTAGACACTATTACACAAAATATAGTAGAAGCTTAAGTATGCTTCTTTCGTTATATGTGAGATCGCAAATATGTGTAAAATGTGAAAATAGTCGCAAAACGACTATTTTCACATTTTCCACTCAAATACAGAATGTCCAGAAATTTCAGGAATTGTATCTTTTTGTTAGTTAATCTACATTAAATTCTCTAATACCAATAAATTTGAGGAAAGCATTTTTAAACTCATATTTTAAACTAAAACACCAGTAAATAAAGGAAGAGATTTAACATTTCTCCATTTTTTCATGTTTTCATTTAGGAATACGGTGAGGTGCAACCACCCAGTATAAATATACAAAATGAAGGTGACTACCATCGCTCACCAAGTGAGGATTCTGGTTTAGGAATGGGAATTGCTGATAAAAATCTATCAAGGTAAATGCAGAAAGGATTTGCACTTAGAAAAGGCATCCTATTCCTCTATTATTCTTGAATTTTTGTTCGTCCAGAAATTAACAGAATCCGATTTCGATAGTCTTTCTGCCTAGAAATAAGTGCTTACATATTTCTTTAAATAATATAAATAAATAAACAATATAACCTAAATATAGTTATTGAAAATTAAGCAATTATTACATTTTAGCTGATCCGATGATGATAAATTGCATATTCTCATAATAAAATTGTTATATGATAAGTTTTTAAAAATTTGATATGTATTTAACAAAAGAACCATCACCTGGTTAACAACACCTATTCGTAATGTTATCGAAATCACGAAATAACTCATAAATCAACAGTTTAATAATTTGTAAAAGTGCGCCAGAAGTAAATCTACTCTCTGGGTAAGTGTTAGCAAATTTTAATTTAACAGAATTTCATCAAATCACTACATAACAATAAATTCACAGCTGATTAAAAAACAAAATAAATAAAACAGTGACAGTCTTTATCAATATTCTCATGGAAGATAACTAAGTACACAAAAGGATAAAAATTTAATCATCATTAAATTTAATTCCTTACACCAAAAATGTTTCCGACCGGGAATGGACCCGGATTAAATCTCAACCAGCAAACTGATTCAGTCGACCAACAATCGTATATAATGCCAGGGATGCAAACATCATACATAAATCTACAACAACCAAACCCAATATTTCCTAACACTCTAACACTCCCTAACAAGTTAATACAAATCCAATACCCTTATACACTGATTCAAATTAAATACAATACCCTCATCACACAGTCAAAAACCTAAATTACTCTCCAGAGCAGTCATCGAGCCAAGAAGAAATGGACATAAAACTCCCTTGTGGCAAAAAGTAACCAAAAAAAAAGAGAGAAATCACAGATATAAATAGACCTACTATGCAAAATAAACAAACCACAACAAACAGTTTTCAAGTACTAGAAGAACAAGAGACCGATGGAATCCAAAGTGTCAACAACAACATTGACAACCAAACATCAACTACTTAATCAAAACATCAAAGGCCACCTCCAATCTATGTCTACAGAGTGACCAATTATATGGGAATGAAAAACTTACCGACAGGAATCACCCCTGCTGAAACTTATACAAAAACATTTAATTAAAAATCCTTTGTAAAAGGTATATTTTAGGCCCAAACGGGCTAAGTTAAAAAGACAAAACGTTTTCGGAAACCATGTTCCATCATCAGTGTCTAGGGGTACATGAATGAAGCCACCAAGATTAAATATGTGGGTAAAAACCCGGTTACATATGTTTAATTACATTTAGTTTTAAATTAATGTTGAAATAATATAAGATTACAGAGTTACCGATGGATTTGGTAACATGGCGACATATGACTCCACGTTGAAGTTGCTAGTCCTGAGACGGTATGTCTTCGAGGACTATATGAGTTGCACTCATATAGTCCTCGAAGACATACCGTCTCAGGACTAGCAACTTCAACGTGGAGTCATATGTCGCCATGTTACCAAATCCATCGGTAACTCTGTAATCTTATATTATTTCAACATTAATTTAAAACTAAATGTAATTAAACATATGTAACCGGGTTTTTACCCACATATTTAATCTTGGTGGCTTCATTCATGTACCCCTAGACACTGATGATGGAACATGGTTTCCGAAAACGTTTTGTCTTTTTAACTTAGCCCGTTTGGGCCTAAAATATATCTTTTACAAAGGATTTTTAATTAAATTTTTAATACATGGTATACAGCCAACTACAGGAACGTAGATTCCTTGTGAATATACAAAAACACTTCCAGATAGTGTAGTAAAAATAAATGCTTTACGTCCAAAAACGTACAGGAAACTATTAAGCTATACGAGAGAAAAGAAAATATTTTCAATATCTCGTATATTTTCAACTCTAGGAAATTCCTGTTTTTTTTTTAATCGCAACGATTATAAATTTAACTCATTACTAAATTACTATATAATATTATTTTCAAAACGGCGCTTAAAATTTAAAATAAATGCTGCCTTTTCTTAATTTTGAAAGCAAATCGAAATCGGACTTATTTCTGAATGGAATGCCGGTTGTTAAAAAATTCATTGTTGCTCAAGTCTTTAAGATCGGCATTGGCTGTGTCAATATTATCATTTCTGGGGATATAATTAAAATACATATAGTTTATCAATTAGTAAACCTTGTAACTTTTTAGTACTTATTCAATTGTATAATCCTGGAAGAGGCGAGAGGAAGAAAATGAAAAATTGACATTTACCTTTATTTTGAGATTTGGCATCGGTATTATAGTATTAAGGAGCGCGTGAGTAGTTTTCTATTCTCGTTCACGAACGTTCACGATAACTTAATTTTACTCACTCCGGTTCATGCACGTGAGTCTCTCTCACGAAAAAGTGATCCAAGCCTGAGCCACGAGCTACGTCATATAAAATGGTTAAATTAAGTTTAACCAAATTGCATACATACAAAAAGACGTATGTTAAAGCGTTTTAATTAATCTAAAAGTTGAATTTTTTTCTTTCGAAGCAGTATTTATACACAGTTCTAAATATAATACCGTTAAAAAGTGAAATCTGAAAAAACTTTTTAGTAAAACTGTAAAGTACAAACTCAGATTGTAATTGGTATTCAAAACTAATGATTTGTCCGAATTATCAGATAGTAGCTTAGCACGTCGCTCTTGCACCAGCTTTAACCAGTCACCAGCTCTAAACAATGAAAAGTCTTCACTCTCTCCTCTATTGCTCTTTTTCCAGTTCTCCTCACCACTACTTTTATACTGTGGACGTATCAAAGGATCTTCAAAATCTCTCTGAAGGGTAAAAAAATTAATCAGACAGTAATTAAAAATAAAACCATTAGCATATATATCTAACATTGGGGTTTCTAAGTCTAAGGCTTCTAAGGCTAATCTTCTTAAGCTTCTAAGGCTTCCTAAGTAGAGTACAGGCTTTTAGTCTGGACTCTAATAATTCTGCTCTGTAAAGGGGTGCCTTTATGCTCTCCAGATGATTGTAATCGCAAATGGTATATATCACGATTTTTCTTGAAGCCAGCCACTAAGTAATATAACACAAGAAGAACAGAACATAAAAAACCTCCAAGATTTGCCCTGTTCACGGATTTCATTACCAAAATAATATTTATATGCTTTATTACTAAATGAGTAATATTCTTTCTTTGGGATTTCAAATTTGTTTCACCACATATATCACAAAAACTATTTAGATGGTTTACACAATTTTGGGGTATGTTAAGACAGCAGTTTCTACAATAGTTTACACTGGAAAGGTAGGCGACTAGTTTGCTATAAACTAAAGTAACTCATAAAAAGGATGCAGTTCATATGATATTCAGCTCAGCATTATTCAGTTTGCTGGAACTGTTTTGACTTGTCTGGTGCGTAAAAGCTAGGACTATTTAATCATAAACAATATACACATAGGCTTTTTACTTGATAAACGGTTTGTAACTAAAACTAAATTGAAGTAGCTCACGTAGGCAAAACACCGCATGCGACATTATTCACATAACGTCGCAGGAATTATTTTGACACATTTGTACACGCTTGGCGAAAGGGAGGGGATCTAGGTTAATGTGGCTTAGCGTATGTTTTAACTGTAGTGGCGGAAATTTCTAGCAACAGTAAAGCCTCACAAAACAAAGCAGTGGCGTTCCCAAAAATACTTATAATTTAAATCAAATTGGCAATATTGTACTACATTTTAATACATATTATTATAATAAATTACATACATATATTGTCTGTATGTGAAACCTTAGATCAGTATTACAGATTACAGTATTAATAAATATTAATTACAAAGATTGTTTTAACTTTAAAACCTTTTTTATTTATATTATTACTCACTTAAACGTCACAAAGTTAAATAGGAGAATGTACGAAATGATTGTAATAAAGTAAAATAATAATACATACATACAGGACAGTTTGGAAAACTTATATTCATTTAGGTTACTTAGATACATCGTAATGTTAAATTATATTATTCACTTTCATAATCAGATGCACTGTCGTCGTCAATGGAATCATTTAAATTATTCCTTAATTCTTAAGTAATTACATCTATGAGACGTTCACTTTCCAAATACTTCAACCTTGACAACATATTCACACAATTTCTTCCAGTTATCTACAGTTACTCTAGCAACTTCCTGTTCCACCAACACGTTTCTTCTTCTAACTTAAAATAAACGTTTTGTTTTGCAACTTTTTTATTTGCGCCCAAACCATTTTAATAGGGTTCAAGTCGGGATGATACGGCGGAACTTTTAAAGAAACATGTCCACATTTTTGCAGCACTTTGTCAAATTTATGTTGAATATGATCTTGTTTGTGTCGTTTGATGATTTCGTACGGTTTTCCGTATATTCGGTATTCCAATTGCGGTTTTAACATTGACGTCACAAATGGTAATTTTTTTCTGTCAACCAAGATATGATTTCCATGATCCATTTTTTTACAATTACTGGTGGCTGCTTTATTAATTTGTACATTATAATATGACGCATTATTAGTAACAACAACAGATCCAACAGGAAAATTGGGGATTAACTGTCCTTTCATCCATTTTTCATAATTTTTTGAATTCCTATTTCATGATAATCTCCTGTTTTAGCTCCCGACTTAAACGTCAAAAGGGCATTCTGTATAAAACCCCTCTCCTCACCACCATGTACGATAACCAACCTACTTCCTTTGGAAATGTTCTTGAATAATCCTTTGCCACTGTCATCTGTCCAGCTATTTGGCTTAGTGTATTCTGCATGTACATAGGTTCCATCAACATATACAAATGACACCTTAACTTCTGTAATATTTAATTTTGTCCAAATATTTAATGTGTAGAGCACGATTATCATTCCGTTTAATTAATAAACGTCGATTTTCTTTCGTTTTCTTCCATTTAAATCCCAAATCCTTCACAATGCTGTAGAGAAAACTCAGACTTCCAGTCCACTCGTACACCTTCGAGGTATTCTTAGGTCTTTTGTATTAATAATGACTTTATAATTACGGTTTTAAGGTTTTCTTCTTTCTTCTTACCGTGCCTATCCGTTCCGGATGTTGGCGATCAACATGGCTATCCTAACTTTGCTTGCTGCTATTCTGAATAGTCCGGTTGTCGATGTATTAAACCAATTTCTTAGGT